CTAAAGATTTTTTAGTAGCCAAAAGTGATGGTTTTTGGCGACTAAAATAATTTAGTAGCCAAAAGTGATGGTTTTGGCAACCAAAAAACATTTTCGTCGCCGATTATAGGTGTTTTGCCGACTAAAAACAGATTGGTCGCTGAAAATGAAGCTTTTTTGCTACAAAAAAAATTAGTAGCTAAAAGCAGTCAATTGGCGACTAAAATTCAGTTTAGTAGCCAAAAGGGGATATTTTTGGCGACTAAAATTCAGTTTAGTTGCCAAAACTGCTTATTTTTAATTTGAACTTATTTTTTTAGCGACAAAAAATTAATTAGTAGCCCAAAATAATATAATTGGCAACTAAATCCATTTGGTCGCCAAAAGTGTCATAAATTTTTTTTTAATAAATAATTTATTTTTTACATAAATTATATTGAATAAAAATAATTATATTTATATATATAGTTTTGTATTAATACCGGTCAATATACTATATAAATAATATATATTGCATATATATTCATGTGATGTTGAAGTGGCATAATAGAGGGAGTGTGTTGCTAAAGGTGTTGGCGGTTCAAATGTGGGAGAGGTTGGCGGTTCGAATCTCAGAAAAAGCAAAGAAATTGGTTTTTTTTTTTTTTTTCACGGAAGGACCTTTGGCGACGAAAATTTTAGTCGCCAAAAGTGTTTATTTTGGGCGACTAAACCGTTTAGCCGACGATTCATGGACTATTGGCGACTAAAAGATTAGTCGCCAAATGTGTGATTTTAAAAAGTGTAAATCACTATTGGCCACTAAAAAGTTGGTCGCTAAAGAGCTATTTTTTGCCGACTAAAAAAATTTTAGTCGCCAATACCTCCGGCGACCATATATACGCGACAAAAGGGGTGACTAAAAAAATTAGTCGCTGAAAGTAAAAACTTGACTTTCAGCAACTAAAAACGGACTTTTGGCGACTAAAAATTTAATCGCCAAAAATGCTTTTTCTTGTAGTGTTTGGAGAGAGAACAAATATATGGGGGAAAAGAGGGATTGGCTTCCACTTCTTTACATTAGGATAAATTACAAACACATTTATGAGGTTTACTTAAATTATAAATTATTTTTTATAGTTTTAGAAATTACATTATACCTTTTAAGGTTTTTAATTTCATAACAAATAGGTTCTTTCATTAATAAATCATCAAATTAATTAATAATTTTTAATAATGTTAAAATTTTATTTCAATTAATAATTCAGATAAACGTGATGTAAGGTCCCGATGTCCCATATCAGGAATGGAGAGGGAGTTCATGAACTATAAAAGTAAAAACCTAAACCCTTATATAGCATCGAGACCTTTTTTCGAGTGGTGAAATCCTTAAAAAAACTTCTCAGTTAAGCGTGCTTAGGCTGGGGTAGTTCTGGGATGGATGACCCACTGGAAAGAACAAATCCGTGCGGGCGTAACCCAAAGCGAACAATATCGATGATATGTGAAGGGTTGGGGCGTTACAAATAGTATCAGAATCGACTCTCTAGAATACCGAGTGTGGGCCCCTAGCGTCTTTTGGTGCATGTGGGTGGGCTTGTGAGTTGGCAGGCTACTGCATGGGGACATGCAGCCCTAAGGGGGATGGATAAGGTCCCAGTGTCCCACATCGAGAATGAAAGTGGAGTTCCTGGGCTATAAAAATAAAAACCTAGAATCTTATATAGCATCGAGACATTTTCCCGAGTGGTGAAATCCCTAAAAAAAACTCCTGTTAGATTTATTTATTTTGATGATTTATTTAACTATGTTTTTAATTTATTTTGAAGAGAAAAATAGAATCAAAATTTATTTTGATGATTTATTTGAAAGAGAAAAATGGAATCAACATTTATTTTGATGATTTTATGTTTTAATTTATTTGAAAGAGAAAAATAGAATCAAAATTTATTTTGTCCCATTATTTCTTACCTAAAACTTTTATCCTAAATGTCGTTAGAATGTATTTAATATTTGATTAAATTAGAGGTTCAAACAGCCCAAAACAAAGGTTCAAACAGCCCAGCACAGCAGCAGGTTAAAAGGTGCAAATGAAAGATATTCAAATTAATAATAATGGAGTAGAAGATATTCAAATGAATACAACGGCTATAAGTTTTATTATATATACCAAAACCTTTAATGTAAACAAGTTACAAAAAAAATCAAAAAATATTATTTGATCTATAATCACTCACATCTATTCTCTGAAAAATTCTCTAAGAAATGTTCTTCACTTTTTATTTACATCCTCTTTCAGAAATTATACACTGAGACGTATAACATTAAGCCCATATTTCCTATGTGAGGTTTACAGAAAAAATAGAGCTTCATTTTTATATCTATCGTTGAGAGATAATTCTTGTAGCTTTCTGTGAAAGCAAAAACACATTATTTTCAACCTTGTAAGAGTGTAATACACTCAGTGTTCTTGACTTAGAAAGTCTGTGTAAAATCCATGGAGAATTGCTCCATTTGTAAAGAGGTTGCTAGCACCCCCGTGAAGCTAGAGCATAGTGGAAAATCTCAAGTGAAGTTTGAGGAGTGCATGTAGGCCGAGTTGAAACCGAACCACTATAAATTTGTTTGTCTCTCTCTCTCTTATCTCTTTATTTTATTTAAATTGTTGTAGTTATATTTCACATTTTCACTGTGCTAAAATTATTAACTGACATAGTTGTTAGAACACTTTATTTTAATTATTTTTATTTCAATGACTATATTTATCTATTGTGCTAGTTATAATTTTTATTAGGGTATTATTAATTTTTAATTGTAAAAGCCTAATTCACCCCCCTCTTAGGCTGTTTTTTGGGTAACAACTCCCTAGTTAAGCGTGCTTAGATTGGAATAGTTCTAGGCTGGATGACCCACTGGAAAGAACAAATTTGTGCGGACGTGGTCCAAAATGAACAATATCGATGACATGTGAAGGGTTGAGACATTACATGTGAACAATTAAAAATTTCACTTTTTTAATTAATTTTGTTAAATAAAAATTCTGATAGTGAGATATTTATAATTTTCTAAATTACAGAAAATAATTTATATTTTAAATAAATTTTAAGGAGTGTATTTATAATTTACTTTTCAATTACAAAGGAGAGACTAAAACAGAGCAAGGCCGAGAAAATTTTGAATTAATTGGTTTTAATAGGGAGAAATGTAGAGAAAAAGGAAAAAGTACATTAACATATAACAAAACTTTAATTCCCCCTCTCTCTCTCTCTGTCTCTCTCAGTGAATGAAAACAAAGCAATGTTTAGGGTTGGTTTGAGAAGGGGGTTGACTTTTTGATTTTTTGGTTTTTTTTGACTATTTTAGCCTGGGTTAAAAAGCTTAGTTTGGAAAGAATTTTTTGACTTTTTTGCTTTTTTGACTTTTTTTGTGAGAGAAGAGTGTAATACTTATGGATTGGATGTGATATTTTATTTTTTGTGACTAAAATAGCCTATTTTGTCTTTTATGACTAAAATAGCTAAAAAAAAACATACTTTAGCTCTTTCCAAACGGTGCCTTCTCTTCTTTTCTTTTTTTACCATGCTTAAAGGACTAAATCAAAACACTTTATAAAACTATATGTCACTTTCTTTAGTTAATTTTAACTATTAGAAACAAATTGAAATAATGTAAATTATTACTTTTCATATACAATAACAATTAGGTGCCGTTTGGTAACACTTTTACGTTTTCAGTTTTCTGTTTATATTTACAAAAATTTTAAAAACTCAAATAAAAACTTGTTTGATAAAATTTTTGATTTATAAATCAGTGGTCTCAGTTTATAAATTTGGCCAAAAAATGAAAACACAAAAACTGTGTTTCCATTTAAATTATTACTTTTCATATACAATAACAATTAGCATTGCAGTAATGATTTAATATTACTGATGTATTGATTTTACTGATGTATTGATTTTTTTAATTTTTATTTCAAAATAAGACAATTTAAAAAGGTAAGTCCATTATTGTTGTCCACAACTAGGATTGCTCAACTGAGGTAAATATTAACATGTTAGGCCTCGTTTAGGAAGTTGACTATTTTAGTAAGACTATTTTAGTTTTTGAATATTTTAATAGACTAAATTTTTTGTATTTGGGAAGATAATTAAATTTTTTTATAGTTGGATGTGATATTTGCGAGAGAAAAAATAAAATGATTATGAGTTTGATGTAACATTTTATCTTATTGACTATTTTAGTCTATTTTATTTTATTTTATTTTTTTTGTAGATTTTAACTAAAAAAAAGCCCAAACCCACTTGCCAAACAGGGTGAAGAAGTCATTACATTGAATGGGCTTGGTTTGGTAAACTTGTGATAGAAGATTTTAACCTGTTTGTTGCAATGGTTGAATTATAGTAGTTGTTTAAATAAATTGCCAAAAAGAATATTTTTTCGCCAATGCTATTATCCTAGAATTTTTCTGAGTGAGGTGTTTATGCAGTAGAGATTGAATTGGTATATTTGTTTGGTTTGGAGTTTTCAATTCGCATTTTGTATTTTGAGTGATTTTTAAAAATATTTTAATCTATTTTTTATTTTTTTTACTTTTTAGATCTACTTAATGTTGATATATTTAAAAAGTATAAAATTTGTAAAAAAAACCTTCTAAAAATTTATTGAATACAACAAAATATAAAATGTACTGAATTTTCATATTTTTTTTTGTATTTGGTGAATTTTTTAAAAAAAATCACTTTCTAAGTGTATTAAAAAATAAATAGTTTGCATAAACTATTAAAAAAATTCACTAAAAATAAAAAAATATGAAAAACAAGACACAATTTTTAGAAAAACAAAGATAACCAAACACGGGCCAGCCTGTGTACTCTTTCGATATTCTTTGTTTTGGGCTAAAGAACGGGCCAGCCAGTGTTCTCCAATCTTGTGACAATGAGCTAACTCGCCATGGGTCCATAAAGTATAACCCAACCCTTCCTTGGTTTTAGTATTAGCCCAAGCTCATGAGTCCATCTCATGAGCCCAAAAAAGAAGGGCGTCTCTTGGGAATATGAGTTGACGCTTCGGGTTAACGGGTTGTACCCATTTGGGATCCATAATACCCATTCTGCAAATTCATGTACCAGGGTTTAGGGTTTTGGATCCCCCGCTCTCTCTCTGAAGCTCACACAGCAGGTCGAAACGATAAACGGTCTCTCTCTCTCTCTCTCTCTCTCTCTCTCTCACACACACACACACATTGATACACACACAACTAGATGGTTCTACATATCTGAACATTGATTTCCCTAATTTCAAATGCTGTTATTATTATTATTATTTTTTTTCAACACAAGTGATTTGGAAATACTTTGCAGTTGTTTTGTAATTCATTGTTAGTTTCTGCGACTTTAGTTGTAATTGTTTGCAATTTTTTGTTGCTGTTTGATTGTAATTTATGTACCTTATTAAACAAAATTACATTGAGAATTTTGGGGATTTTTTTTGTTCTTTTTTGTTCCCTCTATTGCCTCGCATTAAACATAACAATGATTGATAGTTTTCAAAATTCAGTGATATTTAGAATAGCATTAGTGTTTAGTTGTTGGGTGTAAGTTATCTAATGTATTATGAATAAATAGATGAGTGCTTAGTTGAATGATTTAATTTGTTTAAATTATAACGTTACCTTTTTGCCCATTAGAGGAGAATCTCAAGGGAAGTGCTTGGAGAGTCGAAAGGGACGGGACCCAGCGTTAGGAAAACTTGGTGGTGGAGGGAAGAGGTTCAAGCGGTAGTTAAGGCAAAGAAATAATGCTTTAAAAAGTGGCAGAATAATAGAACTGAGGAAAACCTTAAGAGTTATAGATTGGCTAATAAGGAGGTGAAAAAAGTAGTGAGAGAGGCTAAGTTGAAAACTTATGATGACCTATACACTAGACTAGATAGTAAAGAAGGAGAGAAGAGAGTATACAAACTTGCTAAGATGCGGGAGAGGAAAACAAAAGATTTTAATCAAGTTAAGTGCATCAAGAGTGAGGATTCTAAGGTATTGGTGAAGAATGAAGAGATTAAGGAAAGATGGAAGAACTATTTTGAGAAACTATTAAATAAGGAACATGGAGGTATGGCAATAGGGGAAGAAATGGCCAGTAATACGATAAACTAAGATTATAGGCTTTATCGCAGGATTAGGAACTTTGAAGTAGAGATTGCACTTAAGAAGATGCAATCAAATAAGGCTTTAGGACCCGATGATATCCCTATTGAAGATTGGAAGTGTTTGGGTAAAAAGGGAGTTGCTTGGTTGACTAGGTTGTTTAGCAAAATTTTATTGACTAGGAACATGCCATATGAGTGAAGGAAGAATATTTTAGTGCTAATATATAAGCATAAAGGAGATGTCCAGAATTGCAACAACTATAGAGGAATCAAGCTAATGTGCCTTATAATGAAAGTGTGGGAGAGGGTGATGGAACGCCGATTGCGAGATATAACAGAGGTGTCAGAGAATCAATTTGGGTTTATGCCCAGCAGGTCAACAATGGAAGCGATTTATCTTTTGAGAAGAGTAATAGAAAAATATAGAGACATTCATATGGTGTTTATTGACCTTGAGAAAGCATATGATAGAGTGCCCTGAGATACAATATGGTGGGTGTTAGAGAAGAAAATGGTGACAAAATGTTACATTGATGTGATTAGGGATATGTATGAAAAGGTGGTGACCACTATTAGATCGTCTGTTAGAGAGATAAATGAATTTCCTATCACTATTGGGTTACACCAAGGATCTACCTTAAGCCCTTATCTTTTTGCTTTAGTTATGGATGAGTTGACGAGAAATATTCAGGATGACGTGCCATGGTGTATGCTTTTTGCAGACGATATCGTGCTAGTGGATGAGACTAGAGAAGGAGTTAATACAAAGTTGGAGAGTTGGAGAGTTGGAGAAAAGCTCTTGAATCTAAATGTTTCCGGATAAGCAGAAATAAGACAGAGTACATGGAGTGTAAATTTAGTAACAGTAACAATGAAAGCAAAGGAGAAGTGAAGATTGAGAACTAAGAATTGCCTAAGAGTGAACATTTTCATTATTTAGGATCGATTATCACAACAGCGGGGGAGATTGATACGGATGTGGCCCATAGAATTAAGGCGGGATAGTTTAAGTGAAGAAGTGCGTTTGAGGTACTGTGCAATAAACGAATACCCACTAGACTAAAAGGTAAGTTCTATAGAATGGCTATTAGACCAACGATGTTGTATGGGACGGAGTGTTGGGCAACCAAGAAACAACATGTAGATAAGATGAGTGTGGCTGAGATGAGGATGCTAAGGTGGATGTGTGGCAAGACTAGACAAGACAGAATTAGGAATGAGTGTATTCGGAATGGGTAGGAGTAGCACCAATAGAAGATAAGTTGAGAGATAATCGATTGAGATGGTTTGGTCACATTCAACGGAGACCAATAGAGGCAGTAGTGAAGAGATGCGATGGTGTAACGGTAGAGAGGAGTGTTAGGGGATGGGGTAGACCTAAATTAACGTTGGCTAACGTTGTAAATAGCGATATGGATCTACTTAATTTGACTAACGAAATGGCCTTTGATAGGGCCGCGTGGAGAAGAAGGATTCATGTAGCCGATCCCATTTGATGGGACTTAAGACTTGGTTTGGTTTGGTTTGGTCCATTAGATTAGATTAGATTTTTGCACGGATTGTCTCCAATTGGACCACATTAGTCGAAAAACAAAACAAAACAAAATTTTAGGGACTGCATAGATGAAATTGGGGGGGGATGACAATAGTTTGGGGGTATAAGAGAAATTAACCCTCGAAGTTATCATCTTTTCCAGAAATGACAATAATATATCTTATTCTTATTTATTTATTCGGCTGTGATTGAGGCCTCGAAAATGAGGCTCGAAATTGCCTCGAATGCAAATTTTTTTTTTTTTAGGCTAATACATTACAAAAAAAATAAATAATAATAATAATAATAATAATAACAAGCAAAGCATCAACCCAGCAAAAAAAAAAAAAAACAAAAAAAAATCAAATTTGAGCCAAATTTGAGCCAAAAAATTTGAGGCCTCAATCATTAATCTTATTTATTTAAATTTTTTTAATGCAAAGTCATATATCATATTCAAATTGTTGTTTTAAGGGGTTTCTTGTGGTTCATTTTTATTCCTGAATTTCAGTCATTTTAGTTTTCATATATTCAATCTTGAGACCGTGCAGATAAGTGTGTGCTTCTGCGGCTAATGTCATGTATCATGACATGAGCACTTGCACCATTGCAATTTGATATTTTTTTAACATTTGTATTTTATATTTGTTTATTATTAATAGGTTTATTGTAAGGAACCATTTTCTGAGAATCTGGTTATGGTTTCTATTGGCTCAAAAGCCTTGCCACTGAGAAAACACAAAACTAGTAATTTAACTGAGGACAGTTTCATGGCCGGGGAAGATAATCCTTACGGAAAGCATGGAAAGAAAGGAAGCATGAGCAGATAGTCATTTAAAAAACGCCCTGGTTTTGATGGAGATCATTCTACTGAAAATTTATCTGGTGGTATGCCCGATAATTCTGCAAAATCTTCAAAAGTTTCGAAGCATCAGAACGTTTCTGTGCCACAAACATCGTTTGTCAGGTTTTGCAATTGCTTTGCATACTTGGTTCCTTCTATTTGTTTTGGATATTGTAATTAAGGTTTTCAATGGTCAATATAAGCATCTGAATGAATTAGAACTATTTCCTTGTAGGAAACAGGTTGATCCTGAGACTGCAAAATACTACTTAGAGATTGCAAATGTTATTGAAGGTACTGAAGTTAACTTAGAGGAAAGGTCAATTATATGTGGTAATGCTTTGGAAGAGAGTAGAGGGAAAGAAGTGGAACTTGCAACTGATTATTACATAAGCCACACTATGCAAGCGCTCCTTGAAGGCTGTGATGTGGATCACCTATGTGGGTTTCTCCAAAGCTGTGCAAAGGACTTCCCTCACATTGCAATGGATAGATCTGGTTCTCATGTCGCAGAGACAGCTCTCAAGTCTTTAGCTATGCATCTTCAAGATGATGAGACTAACTCTCTTATTGAAAATACACTAACTACGATTTGCCAGGTGTTAAGTACTTGGTGGCTAGTGAATGTTAATGAGGGGTGGAGTTTAGCTTTATGTACCGTGCTTGTATATGTGCATTTTCAGATTAGTAGTTGCCTCTTTAAGGGTATTGTTAACGCAATAATTGTTAGTTGGGTGGTACATTATTAGCATACGATGTTCTTATTTTCTCAACAGGAAAAACATAGTGCAGTGTTTTGTTATTTGAACTTGGCAAAATAGATAGCGGTGATTAATTATTATCTAATTAATTATCTTTGTTTTATCATTTTCTTTCCCTGCCAGGTGATTGTAGACAATCCTATTGATATGATGTGCAACTGTTATGGGTCTCATGTTCTTCGGAGTCTTCTTTGTTTTTGTAAAGGAGTGCCATTGGACTCTTCTGAGTTCCATGCCACGAAGTCATCGACTATTCTGGCAGAGCGGTTAAATTTGAGGCCGTCTCGAGTGGATGAAAATGATTCACAATATTCGCAGCAGAGATTTCCAGATGTACTCAAATTCCTTGTGTCAGGAATGTTAAACTGTGCCAGAAAAGACATTTCAACCCTTCAAACTGATCAGTACAGTAGTTTAGTTTTGCAGGCATGTTTCTACTACTTTTTTGGTTCTTACATTTTTTCTTCTTTTATTTATTAATGATTTGTGTTAATGTCATGTTTCCGAGGTTTTTTTTTTTTTTTTTTAGTTTACCTCTTATTCTCAGCAAGCATGGTCAATTTTCATTTAAACATCTATATTTTTAATAGTTAACCATTTTTTCATCCGAGTCTACCTTTTTTCATGTCTTATCTCATAAAAGTCATATCACTAGGTCTTTCACTTCCTTATCAATTTATAACTTAGTTACTCTTTTCATAAATCTTGCTGAGACATTTTATGTTTAATAGATTCTGTTTGTTATGTGGCAGACTGCTTTGAAGTTATATGCAGGACATGAAGAAGGGTTGTCGCGTATAATTCCCATTCTTCTTGGCTGCAACATGGAAAATGCTGTTGAAGGGAATTTCATTGAAAAAAAGTCAGCGCAAAGCCTTCTACGTTTGATGAAGGAAACTGCATATAGCCATTTAATGGAGGTGAGGTCTCTTAATAGGGTAGTAAAACTGTAGTTTTGCTTATTTTTCTTCTTTTCCGTGGATTTATATATATATATATGCTAATAGATTTGATTTTGAATCACCTTTGGACCATTTCAGACCTTCGACCATCATTTATTTATTTTAAATCTTAAATGCCATGTTGTCTTATTTATATGGGTGTTGTCATGAATGAAAGCCAAAACATTATGAGGAGAAATGAGACTAAATATTGTGTGACACCAGGTTAAGGTTAGTTGTTGAAGGAGAGTTGAGTATCTTTTTGCATGAAAGTAGAACTCATGAGTCGGACTCTCTTTTTAACCATTATGAAAATAATTAATATAACATTAACCAACTTTTATGAATCTGCAATTTCTTAGATTGCCCACATTACTGTAATAAATACCATACTGGAAACTTATTCTTCAAATGTAATTATTTTCTGGTCATGTCCATTTCTGCAATGACAAAGTCGATTCCCTTTGATGTGGATACCAAATTGTTTTGAAGAAAAAAGAAAAGAAAAGAAAGTCAATAAGATTGTTTTGGGCGATTTTCTTATTAATGCATAACTTGTTTACCATATTTTTCACTTTGCAGGGCACTTTCCTGTTGTACATTCGCATCCTTTCCTCTCATAAGTTAAAAATAATTACATCTTTAAGTATTCACCATGCACTATTTGTTGAAGTTGATCCCCTGATATTTGTTTCTAACAGTAGCTTTCATGAACTTCTGACTTGCTTGAATTTTATGCCATTTTTTTAGGTCATCGTGGAAGTGGCTCCTGAAACATTGTACAATGAGCTATTCACAAAAGTCTTCAGGAATTCATTGTTTCAGATGTCATCTCATCACTGTGGGAACTTTGTTGTCCAAGCATTAATTTCTCATGCAAGATGTCAAAGTCATGTATGTACTTTTACACTCCACTTTTATGAATTGTTGTGCTGCCTGTTATGCATTCCAAAATTTAAACAACCTCTGTTAGTGATACCTCTGCTTTTTATGTGGTATTTTATACAAGTCTGAATTAGTTGCGCATACTGATCTATTCATTGTTTCTTTTCTTTTTCCTGGGATTTACTCTATGTTGAGTTGATATGTTCTAACGCTTTCCTATATTTATGACACCACAGATGTTTGTGTTACAATTTGCTTCTGCAATTAACGTGCTTTCACTTTTCTTAAAATTTCTCTCTGTTTTGCCTTCAAGATGGAGTTAATATGGGAGGAACTTGGTCCAAAGTTTACGGATCTTCTTGAAATGGGAAGGTCTGGTGTTACTGCTTCTCTCATTGCTGCAAGTCTAAGGCTTCATAGCCATGAACACAAGGTTTATACAAATGTCAACCCTTCAATTTTTGCTTCATGAATTATAAATTGAAAAAATTCAGCAGTACTTGGAAGAATAGATGTTGTATACATTATATCCATCTATCCCTTTCATAATTATATGTACATTTGGATCAAATCTCAAAAAAGAAAATACGAAAACTCTATTTTATTCACCTTTGGCTCAGATCTTCATCCTAATCATGGGTTTTATATACAATCACTTGATTGGCAGTGTTTACAGGCCCTTGCCGCTGCTGTGCATTCAGTGAATGAGTCCATCGGGTGTATTGTTCCTCGAATATTATTTCTTGAAAACTACTTTAGTTGCGGAGATAAATCCAACTGGAACTGGCCGAATGGTGTGAAGATGCATCTCATGGGTTCCTTGATTCTGCAGTTAGTTTTTAAATTTTCAAGTGTACGTCTCTTTTCTTGCATCTGTTGCTTTTATCACCTCATTGTTACTTTAGTACTACTTATCTTTTTGTCCATATTACAGTTAATAGCTGTAAAATGTCTCATATACCCAACCCATTCTTAGCATGTTCTATTCAAACTCTATTTTATGGGAAAATTATAGGTTGAGCCTCTTGTGCTGTAATTGATGATGAGTCTTGCCATTATTGATAATAAAGAGGTTTGTTTTATTTAATTTATTTCTCCTGTTGGTTATTCTGATAAGCCATATTCTCTCTTTAGATGGTGAGGATGCTTACTGTGCTATTCCTAGCATGCATGTGCCCTGCTAATTCTGTTGTTGCTGTAAAAAAGAAATGTGAGAGCCAGTTTTATGCTGGTACTGCCACTGCAGGCTCAGCCTTTAGTTTGTTTTGCTGGAATGAAAGGAAATATTTCTTTTTTTAGCTAATTGTCAGATGCGGTAGTTTTATGAGCTGAAAATGCAATAAAATATTGCTTCTATGATAGAAGTGAAATCATGTGTTGGTTTTGTATCTGTGAGCTATTAATTTTCTTAGTAAATATATTGCTTCCATAGTTTATCTACAAGGCATAAATACAAATCGATTCTCTATACCAAAACTTTGTTCTTAAAATATTTTTTTTAAGCTTTCAACTGAACACCTGCAAAATGAAATTTGTGTGATCTTTTTCATCAAATTTTTTAGCATGTAAAATATTTTACATAAAAACAAACATAGCATTAAATTAGTATGACACATCATTTCTGTTTTACAGGACTTCATTCAGCCTTTTATTACAAGTATCACTTCAATGGAAGTTGAGCATGTTCTTGAAGCATCGAAAGACCCTGGGGGTCAAAGGGTTGTTGAAGCTTTTCTTAGTTCAAATGTTTCTGGAAAACAGAAACGTAGATTGGTTATGAAGTACGTTATGCAAGCTTGGGTGCTCTTTGTTAATTTTTATATTTCTTATATATGCCGAGTCTGGTTTGATGCATACCAGCCATATGCTGCATTTTTATAATGATTCTAATAAGTGCCTCATGCATTTTAGAGGTGCATATGAGCTTTTAGATTTTGGTCGTGTTGACACTTTTGGGCCTACTCATGTCCCTACTAGTTCTGTTGTGTTTCATTTCTTGAAGTTTGGTATCATTTTCACTTTTGATACTTTTTGTTTGTTGTGTTTTTGGAAATAAATTTTCGAACACTCGTCGTTTTCATTTCACTTTCATTTTTTGAAAATTTGAAAAACAACTTAAAAGTGTTCCTTATAAAATGAGGTGCTTCCAGAAAGTTTTCAATTCTGCATCTCTCTCTAGCTTAATGCAACCATGTGATCATCAAAGTTTTCTCTCTAAGTTCCTGGTCCCCCTCCCTACTTTTATTGCTAAATAATGATTTGAGTTGGCATATTTGGATCTCAACCATGAGATTGCAGAGATGCACTCAATAATCTTTGATAACTCCATCTTTGTTGTAGCATCTCAAGGGACTGCAATTATGGAATTGTTGTATCTCATGCTCTTTCAAATTTAAAATGTTTTTTCCTGGTAATTACTTTGAAGGCTTAGAGGACATTTTGGAGGGCTTGCATTGCATCTGTCAGGCTCATTTACTGTCGAAAAGTGCTTTATCGCCGGCAACTTATCTCTGAGAGAGGCAATTGTATCTGAGTTGTTAGAAGTGCAAACGGAGCTCTCAAAGACTAAGCATGGCCCTGTTCTTTTGAGGAAACTCGATGTTGATGGGTATGTTGTTTGCTTTGTATTATCCTTCTATGATCTTTCTATGTTATTTAAATTTTTTGACATTGTGCATGCATTTTGAAGACACATAGGCATTGCATTGTTTGGAGTGTTTTAAAACTACTTTTAGTTTTTCCTTGATGAATGGTCGACTGAGGCCCTTTTCTTATGTGTGTGTTGGGGTGGGGAGACTCCCACTGACTGAGACTGTTATTGGATTTTCATTACATCATTTGATACTCATTTGTCAGACTGTCAAGCGTACATAACATGGTTTTATATCTTGTTAACCATTTTTCAGATTGCCTGACCCTGCCTTTATGACAAGTTAATTCCGAAGTTGTAGAACTTTTTTTTTTTGTTTTTTTTCAAAAAATAATCAAGAATTATTATTTGAGCCCTCCAAAATGTGAAACTGGCTAATTTTTATTTTAAGTGGAATTTATTTGAAATGGTGGTCGTGAACCTTTTTTATAATAATTACTTGGACAGGCTTAATAACTGATTTGTTTGATCATACTGTGACTGCAGTTAGTCCAAGCAGTATAAAGTCATTTTAGAATTCCCATATCCAGTGCAAATCTCCTTGGAAGCATCACGAATTTGTTATATATGAAGACCTGATTTGTTAGATATGAAATGTTTTGCAAATAGCATCATTGTGAATGGCAATTTGTGTGCCTCCCATCAAGTTGAACACACCTTTTTCATGCAGAAGAGTAGTAATAATGATAAATTTTTGTCAAACCTCTCTAGTCTAAGAATATGGCATGTAGAAGTTGCTGTGTAAATATGTTTTTCCTCTACACACAACACTAAACTTCTGCTCACTTGGTTTGATGAATTTTAATGTTCTTTATTTTCAATTTGTGATTGAATATCGCTAGTCTTTCTGTTATTTTTATTTATTTATTTTTTTTACCATCAAGTAAGTACACACTCTGCACCTTTGCTTGCATGGCAAAAATTGATAAGAATGCGACAATTGCTTGAAGTTACTGGTCAGTGTGTTGATATTGGCCATTATGAACCTAATTGGAAAAGATGGTTTGCTTTGCTTATTCCATGTTGGACTTTTAAAATTTCATTGTTTTTGTCAATTTGATTCGATGTTTTCTTCACCTTTCTCAATAGATTTGCAAGACGACCTGATCAGTGGAAGTCGAGACAAGCATCAAAACAATCAGTTTACAAAGAGTTCTATGCTACGTTTGGCTCAAAAGAAACCAAGTCATCCAAAACTGACCACTTTCTTGCGGAGACTCCTCGTACATCACAGCCAGAAAAATTGAAGGAGATGAGGAAGGAAATAGAAGCTTCCCTAGGTTCTGCTACTGCACCATCTTCCAGTACTCAATTTCTAGCCAATGAGGACTTGACAACGAAAGTGAGAATGTCAGGCCATAAGCGTCATGCAAAGAGAGAAGAACAGTATGATGATGATGTTTTGGAAAGCAAAAACAAAAAGCAGAAAAAGAAAAAGAATCACGATGGGATTGAGCATGTTGCTGTGGCTAGTGAATCATCCCACCCTGTTGACAAAAAGGAGAAGAAACGTCGAAGGAAGGATGGCTCATGAAATTCTTTCTAAAGAAATCGAAAGCATGAGATTTCAACCCTGTATGTGTATTTCTCTTTGTTTTGAATCTCTTACATCTACATTGTTTGACTTAAGTTCACAGACTAATTAGCTAGATGGAGAATTTCACATAGCTCTTTTAAATTGTTCCAACAAAGAAACTTGTGTATTTACATCTGAAAACTACAAAATCAATAAACATAAAAAATTGGTACTCCCAGGGAAAACAACACCGCAGTGAATCTAAATAGCACTAGATTTGTCTCTCTCTCTCTGCACTAGACTTGTGTAAGACGACTCTAAAACAACAAATTGTATCGGTAATCTTAATATAAAAAAAAAAAATTGTAATAGCTGTGAAGACTTCGTTGATTGCTCTTTTAGTACTTAATCGATTGGCATTACTTGTTCTGAGTTGGGTTTGATGTGCTTGGCGGTATCATCCGAGAGCTCGAGTCCAGCTTCTTGAATGGATCTTTCTTCTTTGTATGCAAATCTTTGACAGTTTGTGAAGCCACAGACGATGAATGTGCTTTTGCAAGTACGACCCGGGATGCTTGGGCTTGACTAGGCAATGAATGTAGAATCAGCAGGAGTGCAAGAACGAAAGCCGCTAGTGATCTGAGGTTAGACTTCATAACTGAAAGTAGTGTTTGAGCTGATAGTTGAGTGAAGATAGAATTTGGAGTTGTTGTGATGAGGTTTGATGGATCTAAAGTGTTGATTTATATCATTTTTTTCTACTTCTATAATCTACTGGGGGGATCTGATGCAAGTGGGATCATGTGATTTTGGTTTGACTGTTCCTTGCTATGACTCTCAACTTCCAGATTAGTTGTTAACAGTTTCAGAGAGGTCACGTGATCGATGACGTGATAATATATTAAAATCAGCTTGGGAATCATACTGTGCTCTGCCTCAAAGATATTATTTAGTGTAAAATTAATAGACAAATTGGTGAGGCATGAATGGCATCCATAGGTTTCCCTATTCTTCTCTTTGTTTATATATGCATTGTCATCACCTGAAAACTTGTAAAACATGTTTGGTTGGTACATATGAATGTTGCAAGTTTTTCCTGTCCTCGCTTTGGATACTCAATTTTTGGACACAAAATTCAACAACCTAACCTTAAAAAAATTGGGTTAGGCCTGCGGCTGATTTTATTGTATTAATTAATTATATAGGCTTTATTCGTTTGGCAGATTGGGGGAGGATTAGGGGACTGAAAAAATTGTGCAGGTCACGCCCCATTTCTAACGTTTTATATAAGAATTTTTTTTAAAAAAATGTTTGGTTCTAACCTTGAAACTGATGTATTAGTTGTTGTATTAGTGGTGGTGGTGTTGGGGTGAAGTGGTAGAGGTGTTGATGGTTGTGAGATGGTGGTGATGATGATGACAATGGTAGTGTGGTTGTATTGGTGTAATTTTAGTTTGAAAAATATTTTTTACCTTTTAAAAGTAAAAATATTTCCATTCAAATAAGTTTGTTTTTCGCTGAGTGTAGAAAAAGTTTTCTATTGACTTTTATTTTTTGTCACGTCAAATGCACAACAAAAAAATATATAAAAAATGCTATCTTTTTTTTTTTTTTTTTTTTCTTTTTTTTTTTTGTCAAAACAAACAAAGCATTGGGTCTCGTGTTTTTTTAAATTACTATTCATAGGTTTATGAGATTATCTCCCTCATTCATTCAATAGTTGGAAATAAATTTCTCCTCTTATTCCATCTTTTATCTCATTATCACAAATATAGTATAACTAATTATATACGTTTAAAAGTCTCTGTCAATGCACATTAATGTATCCACCAAAAAGGAAAAAGCGACAGACTCCCACTGGAGGTGACCCCGAAGGCCTCTAGTGGGGTATGATTGGTCCAAATTTTTTTTTATTTTTTGAGTCTCGGTCTGGCAGCCCCCCAGGTGGAGGTGGAGGTGGAGGTGCTGGGGGTCACCTCCCACTAGGGGTCCCCAGCACTGCCGCACCAAAAAATGGGTAAATAAGGAGAAGAAAAAGATGAGGGAAGTTAGTAGAGAATTTACTATGCTATCCTCAAATTTTATTAATAACCTATTGTTTATTAATGGTATAATAGTAAAATCGGCTTTTTTTTTTCTTTCCATCAGAAAAAAATAGCCCCAATTCAATTTTAGAGAGTAAATGAATAAAAATAAATATAAAAAAGGGGAAAAAAAAAAAAAAAACCTTTGCTTTTAAGGAGATTGGTTTACAAGAAAGATAAGCATATTCTAGAAAGTTGAATCATAAAATGACTTTATTTTTATTTTTTTAAGCATAGTTTTTTTATATTCTATTTTTCTTTCATTTTCCCTTCCATTTTTCCTCTCAAACATAGCACTAGTACTTATACATGAGTCCTATTTAGACCATCTCCAATGATTTAGCAAAATTTTCACTAAATCTGAGTAAAAAAAAGTTGATTTTTTTGATCTGATATGTGTAACTCCAATGGTTATGGTTACTGTAGTGTGCATTAAAAGGAAATGGGACATCCGGTGAGTCGACCGGTTCAATTTTTTTTTTTTTGAACCTTTTTAACCAGTAATTTGAATCATTTGAACCAGTTCGCAGGCCATTTTTTGCATGAGCCGGTTGACCGGTGGGTCAACCTGCCGGACAGCCGGCCGATTGACCGGTGGGCCCACCTCCAACGTTACAGCACAGTGAAATGGTGAAATATCTCACGCAAATCCTCAGTTTGATGAAACTTTTGCTCCGTTCTCAGTTTAATACCACTCTGGTGAAACCATTAGAAAGAAAAAAAATGATTTTTTTTATCAAATTTAAATTTAATACTAAATCTGATGTAACATTAGAGATGATCTTAGACTTTAGAGTAACCACATTTTATTTCTATATTCAATTTAGTAATGCGTTCGCTAAATTTCAAGTCATTCGCTTGAGGCACACTAGTAAGTCGGTTTGACTATATAATTTATTTATTTATATTCAATTCCAACTTTCATTAATCACAAAAATCACCACTCACATGTTATTATTCTACAATCACACCAGCATTAAAGGTTACGCATAAATAAAATGATATTTATTAGGAGTGAACAGTGGATATTTTGATTCGTTTAAACTGTTCTAACTGAATCGATCTGTCACATTTTGGACGGATGCGTGATAATGAACGAACGGTTGTAGATAGATTTTTTTCAATCCGTCTAATTTTGGACGGATAGCTGATTTAAGATTCCTTTGACCGCAACTGAATCCTCAAACAGCGAACACCCTTAATAATTTATGAGACTTTATGTTTTCAATTTGTTAGATATTCTGTTTGTATTTTTAATTGAAAAATAGTTTAGATATTCTGTTATATTTTCAATTTAGAAATCCTTTTATCATATGGCAATGGTTGATGTTTGGTATTTTGTGTGAAAAATATTAGGCTTAATTTTGTTATTTTTTAAAAAAATCAAATTAAATAATTTTTAAATAAAAAAGTAATCAAATAGTTTTGATAATGCATAATTTTCTTATATGTATTTATCATTAATATTTGACAATTTACTTGATAATCTTTTGGTTATGTTGAGTTGAATTATTATCCAAAAAAAAATGTTGACAAGTTGTATTATGTTCAAAATTTGTAAAAGTTTAAACCGCCAAACTGATTCACATCTATTTGCTAATTTACCAATCCGCTCAATTCGCTTCTATCAAAAGGATGCAGATTGATTTTTTTCAATCTGCCCACACAGCGGACGGATGACGAATTAAAGGTTTCTTGACCGCAACTGAATCGCAAACACCCTACTATTTACTAGTAAATCTTATCTCACAAATGAGTATTTCAATTAATCCTAAATTTTCTTTATTGATCTATTAGTGGTGAGTTTTTTTTCCCGTGTAGTCTTGTTTTCAATTTTGATAGTGTTTTAATAGATAAATATATCATTTTATTAATATAACAGATATAATATGACATTTCAATGTGACGAAACAATTCAATATAGTATGATATGACACATTAAAAAAAAATTAATATACTTTTCATTTGTGACACCCAAACACGTGCCGACGTGGCAAGTGAGGAACCACCGACCCAAGCAATGTTATTAAAAAGGAAAATACCATACAAACAAAAACAAAAACAAAAAAAATTACAAATTTTTCTCATAAATTGATATGACTTGAAATAATACAATTTTAAAATGTGAAATGAGACATGACTTATTAATATTCTAGGTGACGCATCAATTTATAAAGAAAATTTGCTTGAAAAACTTGTTTGTATAGCACCGCTCTATTAAAAAAATCCTATGGTATGCTTCATCCAAACGTGGCACTTAAAAACGTTTCCTCAATTGATTTCCAAACACAAGTCACCCGCCGATGTGGCACTTGTCCAACCACTACCCCAAATGAATGCAATAAGAAATCCTTTTAGTGAGTTTCAGCTTTCATCTATACGTGGCATCTAAACACGCGTCCTCAATTAATTTTCAAACAGATGTTACATTTTCTCTCTAAACTCTTATCAATGGTAATTGTGTCATTTGACAACTAAAAGGACCAAACGGAGGAAGAAATTTTTTTTGAGACTATATGGTTAACAATTTCAACAATTATATATGATTTATTGATGCTTCCCTCTAAATAAAATAGTTAAATAAATCAAATTGCTTATATTAATGTGTGTTGGAATCATTAAAAATCAATTCCTATGTAAATAAAATAACACATTTCCAAGTTTCATTTGGTTGTGATTTAATAGCAAGCTTATAGCATATTGAACAATAAGAATCTCATCTTATTACTTTAGTTAATCATTTTATTAATTTAATTAATCACTTTATTAAGGTACGTATAAGAGTTCTTAATATTAGTGAGATGGGAATTTAATTAATTGTGAAACTATTAAGTTTTGGAAATAAGGACATTCTTTTTTTTTTTGGATCAAGAAATAAAGGAGGTTCTGAGGTGTCATCATGACCTCCGGAGGCTCAGGCCCAGTGATTCGAAACTTCCTGATTTAACTCAACCCATAGGAGGAGACCCATTACCAAGATACCAGTGGAGCACATCACCCGCTCCAATCATGGCCAAGGTTCGATCGAAATACAACGCGAGATTTCCGAAAAGAACTCCTGAAAAATTCAAGATTTTCACGCCCCTCAGAAATCGAATTTAACTCATGATAATGGAAGGTAAGACCTTCACCACTGGATCACCACCCTCGGTGGTGAAATAAGGACATTTCAATGAGAGGGTTTCGAAGCTTAGGAATCCGTTGATCCTCAAAAGGACCAATCAATGATTCATATCCACTAACAAAACTTCAAAGGAAAGGAAGAAGCAAGTGAACAGTGACTCAATAGAAGCAACAAGATAATATTCATCAAACACTCTCAATCTCTCTATTTTTTTATATATTATTTTTTATAAAAAAATCAAAAAATATATTTATTTAAATCATTCAAAACACCCACTGATATAATGATTTTTCTTAAATTTGACTATCTATTTTAGCAAAATTAATGTTTTAGCTAGTCTAATTGTTAATGCTCTTGTTGGTGTTTAAAAAAATAAATAAATAAAAAATAAATAAATAACTCATTTTACTTAAAACAATGTTAACTCAATTTATAAACTTAATGTTTTAGCCAGTCTAATTGTTAATGCTCTTGTTGGTGTTTAAAAAAATAAATAAATAAAAAATAAATAAATAACTCATTTTACTTAAAACAATGTTAACTCATTTGATAAACTCATTTTTTATAATAATAAATAAATAAAAACTCATTAACAATTTAAAAAAAAAAATCAGTACAAAAAAAAATTAATTAATAAATTAGCAGTTTACAAAAACTCTCAAGAAAATCTAAATTTTGTTAATTTCATAAAATTAGGCTTAAATAAACTTAAAAATTTTGTTAGCGTCCACTCTCAGAACATATGTCAAGAAATTTAACTCAAAAACAAATAAGAAAAAATAAAGAGCAAATTACCAAAAAAAAAATATAATAATAACAAAATAATAATTTCACCCTTTTAATAAAATAAATGATGATTTTTTTATTTTATTATTTTAAACTTTAATTTTTTAATTTATTCTAAATCTAAACCATTTGTTTATTTTTATTAAGTAAAAATGACGACAAAAGTATATTAGTCATTAAATTCAATGTAGGTGTACATAAAATATCTTTTTTCTATTGAATTTAATGTCTATAATACAAATTTTTCGTCAATGTTACTTAACAAAAAAGATCTGAAAAAATTACTCATAAATCCTGTTTGGAGAAAAGTTGTTTCATTTAGTCCCATAAGTTTTCTTTCAAACCAATTAGTCCTTTTTATTTTGAATATGTTGTATTTCCTTAATTTGTGGGTTTGAGAGTTTACTTGTTTGCCCTTGTGTATGATTTTATTTGGATTTTTTTTCCTAATATTGGGTGTATATGGGTAAGGTAGGCTTTTTTGTTTCTATTTTTTTGTAGGAATTTAGTGGAGTGATTTGTGGGTGAATGATGTTACCCCATTTTGTGGTGTTGCTGGTATAGTGTTCGTTCCTTTTTATGGTGTTCGTCCCTATTATAACATTGACATTAGTTAACATCTAAATGACCAAAACCACTAACACATGCTAGTATATCCCCAATAACCATAACAATGTTAAAAAATAGGGGCCATTTCAAGTGTACAAAACACGTATTAATACAAACATCATAATAATAAAATGTGGCCAACAAAAACCACAATATTATACAACACAATCATTATTTGATAACACAACGTTACATCAACTTGCCAAATGACATCTACACATAACTTACAACAGAACAATGACCACACCACCAAAACCCTAATTTACTCCAAACTCACATTACCAATCACATACAACATCAACATGATGCAAACCTATACTGACCCAACATTACATATAAAAATACACAATGATGTTGACAATGCAATTGGAATATTTATCAAAGAAGTAAAATAACAACATCGAAACATATACTCGACACCATTACCTACTAACACAATCGCTGCTGACGACGCAATGAAGAGTGTACACATACCAGTTATACGTTGATAACGTCAACCCAACGATGAAATGATGTAGTTTTTGATCTTAATAGTTGTATTGATAGAATTTGAGATATGTATTTCTAAGGTTTGGGAGGAACCAAATGTCAAAATTAACAACACAAATAAAGGGTTTAACGTTGCAAAAATCATATAAACAACCAACAAAGCAATCTACACTCATTACCATCGGGAATCCACAATGTTTTTATATTTGTCTCTTCTGTTTTGATCGGGATTGAAGGAAAACAGAAACAAAAAAAAAAAAAAAATACTATAGTAAGCTTTTTGGGTACAAACATAATTTTCACATCGCCAAATCTCTAATTTACCCATAACATTTGGGATAACACACACTAACACTATGTACAAAAACGTCATAACCACTCAAATAAGACTTTTCAATGCATAAAATAAAAGATAGGATTACGTGGTTCAAAAGTCTATGATTTGAAATTTATTGGTGCATTATCCAAAAAGATAAATGATTTATATCCAAAATAAATAAACAATTTTTATTTTTTTTTACAAGGATCAAAGTAAATATATATATATATATATATATTTTTGTAATTTCCATAAAAAAATGTATAATTTTTATAACTCATAAAAACACATTTCGCGACTAAAAAGTGAAATAATAATAATAAAAAGACGTCGTCGTCGAGGAGGGACACAAGGACGAGGGCGTTCGAGTCCCCAGAGGCAGAGGAGCGTCAATTTCTCAGCTTGAAGGTCCTTCGTAACCCCCCTAATCACATCAATTCATTGCTCTCTCAATTTCTCTGATCTCAGGTCTCTCTCTCTCTCTCTCTCTCTCTCTGTGATCGCTTTTGCTTTGATGATTCATGGATCTTAAAGCTGTTGAATTTCGTTGTTAGTGTTGATTTCCTTTTCGTGATTCAAATTTTGTGTTGTTGTTTGGATGATGAGAAACTTGTACTTTCCTTTTTTATTATTGTCTTGATTTTGAATTTATGTGTAAGAATTATGCTCTTACTTCGATTTACTTGTCAAAAACGTGTATGTTTTTGCTTTGATTTACTTGATTCTTTAATTCTACTGTTGTTCGGATTTTATGTTGTGTTTTTCTTCGTGAATTCTGATTTAGACATTTGATATCGTGGTTGAATTTTTCTTGTGTACGCGAATTAGGGTAAATCAGGAAAAATATATAATGATGAGATTCAAACGTTGCATTGAAATTGAAAAGTGGATTACTAATAAACGGTGTTGTTTTTGCACTTTATGTGACTCTCGGGTTCAAATGAATTTGTCAAACCTGCTTCCATTTCTAGTCAACAGTTGGTGAAATATTGCACTAATTGGGCGTGTTCATGGTGAATGAGGGGGTCAAAAGCATTTTTCTTATGACGAGGTCCAATTTCCTGGTTGTTGTGGGAAGGAAAACCATTATGAAATAGTTTCATGGGATTTGACCAATTTTTTGATAGTGGAATTTCATTGGGAAATAGCTTGAATGAGTCAGTCATCATTTTGGCTCTCAATTTGTGGCCTAGGATATTGATGTTCCCTTAATGTAGCCCAACTGCCCAAGAGATATTACAGTTTTCCTGTAGGGGGTGGCCTAGGATATTGGACAAAGGTAATGATCAAAAGCTTCAGAGAGAGAGAGAGAGCCAAAAGGTGGGGACAAAAGGACAGGCCGACAGCGAAAAGTGATTTATACTACCGACTAGATAAAGAAGTCTCCAAGTCACCGTAATTACAAAAAGATCTCCAAAGGTTCTTGCTTTGTACCAGTTGACACATTGAAGGAGTGATATGGAAGTGAACGAAACACCCAATACAGAACAAGAACAGTTGAAAAGTTGCTCGAGACAAAAACAAGGCTGATGTGTACTGTTTTATCTTTAGAACGGTATTTTGGATTGTACTAGTAAAATGGTATCAATAATTCTGGTGCATATTTTGTACCATAGTTGTTGAATTGAGATACAAATATTGAATCAGAATTTCTTTTTCAAACCATGAACTAAATCAAGTCATGAATCATAAAATTTGTTAACAAGGTATAAAAACATACGTGTGATGTAAAAATTAAAAATCTACTGTAAATGTGAACAATTGGACATATTAGTGCAAATTTTATTGTGAATGATATGACCATATGGTCCAGTAGGTCAAGGTGCTTGCCTTCATGTCAAGGTATGGATCAAAATCTTACCTTAATTTATAAGTTTGTTATATCTATACTATTATATATGTGAGCACATGACTTGGTGTCTAATAGTGTGGTAGCTTCTCCTTCTGCCACGTGGCAAATTTTTGTATCCTAAAATAAAAAAATGTTATTTAAAGGCATGAGTAAGATTTGAACCCAAGACCTTGGGTTTCATTAAGAACACTCTTACCATTTAGACAATATACATATTATAGCATTAATTTCTTTATTATTTGTTTTTATGCTTATTTATCTGAATTGCACATGCATCGCATGTGCCACACCACTAGTATATATATATATGTATATATGTGCATTGATTTACTTGAAATATCCAAGTACCTTGACCTACTGGATAAACTTAAAAAAAATTTCATAATAATTCATTAATCATCACAAGTTCCATACTCATCAATTAGTTGAAGTAATCTATCTTCTTCTTCTTTTTTTCTTTAAAAAAAAAAAAATCAAACTTTAGTCTATACTATATGCCGAACCATGTTCCAATATATAAGGTCACTAGAATTGTTCTTTTCCTTTTTCATAACAACCATTCTCAACAAGTATGTAAACAAAGTGAAACTCCCAAATTTCAAACAATAATAAGTTAACTACTCAATTATTTATGCTACTCAACTTCTCACTTCAAAGGGGTCAAAGTACCCATACGACCAAACCTTTTAAGTCTCTCAATGAATAACTCCAAAAGATTCATTTCGCAAGTAAAACCAAATGGCTAAAGCTAAATTTGAATACGGAACCTTGCAGAGAGATAAAGAAGAAATCATTATTTATGTTGGGGCTTGAGAACACATAAAAGTAGGAGAAATAGAAGAGAAGGATTCAATAGGACAAGCTTAGAATCCATGAAAGGCTTTGATAGATCATTTTTGAAAAGAAAAAAAAAAAAAAAGAAGTAAAAGAGCCAAAATTGAAAAAGAACAATTCTTTAGAATTGATGGTGGATTGGCCAATTCAATCTACCCATTGATTCACTGATTCACCCATTAATTTAGACCTATGTTACGTGGAACGTGGGGATGGAAACATTTAGAGAAATATAAAAACTTTTGAAATCGCTTTGGATCACTAAATTTACCGTTATTGAATGGAAGTGTGTCATGTTTCAGAACATGCATACTAATATATAATTTGCTAGGGTATTAGTATTTTATGGGAACACAAATTTAGACCCTATGCTCATTCACCCTACTGATTCATATTTATTAGGGCTTCAATTGACCCAAATCATAAGATTCGAATTGTGAATTGTATGAATTTAATAACTATGTTGGACTATGTTTGGAGGATGCTTTATATTGAATTTGTAACCGGTCGTAGTCATACTTTTGATGAGGCCACTATAAGATTGTCCATTCATACTATACCAGTTAGCTCAATTGTATACCATTGTCTTCATAAAATTTTGGTTATTACTTTTAGTAAATCTATTAATTCCCACTTTTCTTTAAATTTGGGCAACATGCTATTTTTTCTGCAATAGAAATTATCCCTTTTAGTATCTGTCCTGTTTAAGTATTGATTAGATTCGTGACTTGATTTTTCTGCTCTAGAAATTTTTAGTTCACACATTAATTCTCAAGTTGTAGAATGACTCTTATGTTTTCCAGTCAACATATTATAAAATCAAGGGACAGCCAGGGGACTTAAGCCAGGGAATTGATCTGCTGTTTTCTTGCCATTGGAAGCTGCTAGATGGCAGAGAAAGCATGTGTAAAGCGCCTTCAGAAGGAATATAGAGCCCTTTGTAAAGTATGTCTTATTTCCTTTATATGTTTGCCAACTATAATGACCATAATCTATTATACATTATTCTCCCTTAGAACTTTAGTTTCTCTTTCCTCTCTACTTTCCATCTAACGTTATGAAAAACCATCCTCTGGTTTATAGTTCAATTTCCTGTAGGACAGTGCTATTTGTGCTTCACTTCTTTTTGGTTCTGTACCCCCTCCGCTTTATTGATTTTCAACCTGCACTTATTATGTGGAAAGTGGGACTATTGCTTGGTGCAATGGTGATAATGCGGAGAGCATGAAGCTGAAATTGGGTTACTTGAAATTTTTTTTCTTCTTTGTGGTTAAAATTATTTTTCAATTTCTTTTGCTCTACAACTTTTCCTGCTCTGCAAAATTTGTGGCCATCAGCTTGTCCTTTTGACTTTGCTTCTGTGCAATGCTTATTGTATTGTGTTATGTCCTACTAATATTGTTGATGAATAGGCCATTCACCACCAAAATTTTGTAGTGCTTTGACTTTTTGTTGTTTTCTATTTTGTATTTGCAGATGATAACCAAATCTAAATGTGATGAAATTGATGGGACTTAAGGCTTGGTTTGGTTTGGTTTGGTTTAAATGTGATGAAATTCCGTGTATTGATTTAGGGAGGGGAAAAATTCATCAGATTGATTTTGAAACTATTATGAGAGGCAAACCCTAAGTATATCTAATTGGTGGTTTTCTTTTCTTGTCTGCCTAAGGACTAAATAACTAAGAATTTTCATGTATTTACTAATAATATTGTGATAGTTTAAAAGAATAAAAATGTAACGATCTACTTACAAAATATAGCTGGGATAAGTAGTCCAGGTCTCATTAGATTTTTATGTGATCCCTGGTTCAACTCTCATGAACGATACTTTCAAACCTTTTCATCATTCAATATCTTGGTCACATGCACAAAGAAATGTACAGTCTACAGCGGTACTTGACACCTGAGGGTCAACTACAAAAGCACAAAACTTTACATAGTTAATGAATCCGTCCTTTAGTTTAATTGATTCACAAATTTGCCACAAATTTAGCATGGGAGCAGAGGTGTCTTTGCGCAAATTACATTACTTCGGTTTAGACATTTAGTAGCATATATTTTCATTCTTTATGTCTTTGTCAGGTTTCCTTTATAAATGATTAGGCACACACTCTTTTGCTGTGTTTAGTTTGTATTTTCATTGTTAATACGTGGTAATTGTTGTTGCCGAATATTGAATATGACTGTGTATCTGTAAGTGATTTGTAGCTCACTTGTCAGATTTGGCATGTTGAATTAAATTTTCAGTACATTCATTTGTGTCCGTGGGTGATAGTGTCCTATGTGAATTTGCAGGAACCTGTTTCCCATGTCACTTCCCGGCCTTCCCCAAGTGATATTCTTGAGTGGCGTAAGTTGCCTTCTCAAAATTTCTTCCTGATGAATTTATGCTTAACAGAATTTTGATTCAGATAAGGTTTCGAAGTTCTGGATTGACCTATTGAGCGTCTCTATTTCTCTCATGCCCGTGCAGATTTTATTAAGCCTGTGTTGTCTTTTAAATTCAGAGTGACTTCGAATAAGTATGCTTATTCAAAATAATCTTTGCATGAGTTGTTGACTGAATATTAAAAGCAACCCCATAATTTGTAATTCTTTCGTCTGTATACCTCTTTGTTAGTGAAATGTTGCTAGGGAATTTAAGCCCTCTCTTTTATATTTGTACATATTTGAAACATCAAAGTGACTTCTTGAACAAAAATGCTACCCACACTATAAAAGAAAGGAAATTAGGCAATTGCTGGCACCTGGGTGAGGAGCAAAGCAATAAAATTGTCAAACTTAGGCTTTTGCAGCAGCCATCGGCATCACAAAATGAGGAAGTTTCTTGTCTTAGATAGATCTTACGTTTTCTTTCATGATTTCATTTGTCTTTTTATATTTTATATCCTCCGATATCAGTTACTTTTTGATTCAGTCTAGATTCTAGTTTTTGTTAATCAAACTTCCGCATAATGTTTTAAAGAAATAGAAAAATTTAGGAACAGATGGCTAACTGTGCTAATCTAAACCAAACTTATGAAGAAGAAAAAAACAATACTGGTATCTCAATTTATAATTTTAGGTAACTTTTGAGGAAAAAATTGGTGATAAGTAGTTTTTATTTTTTATTATATATATTTTTTTAATGTGTTAATTTGTGAAGATCCTTTATTTTTCAGTTTCATTTCATCACATTAACTGTGGCAGTGACACTTTTCGCAGCATTTATCCATGTATCACATCAGCTGGCAATGGCATGCATCATTTGTCTATATGCTTTCTCATCCACTTGTTGTTTGTCAATTACGTAACATGATTTTATTCTATAATTATATGTTGCAGATTATGTACTAGAGGGAAGTGAAGGAACACCTTTTGCAGGTTTGATTTGAAGTGTTATGCGTTTGTGGCACACGACATTTATTTCATCGCTGGTTTTGTTTGCTATTGTTCTTGGAACATGGAATTTTTTTATTTTATTTTATTCATGAATGTTTCCCACTTATTATGGTAAGGTGGATATTATTATGGGAAGATCAAGTTTCCTCCAGAATATCCATTTAAACCTCCAGGAATCAGGTATTGTGGATTCTGTCTGCTTAAATTTTTCCAGAAAAAATATTTTGATGCTTTTTTAGCAGCTTCATGTTTATTTTTATTTTTAACATTTTCACTAGGTTTCTTTAACTGAAAATTACATTTGTTTCCATTGTAGTATGACTACTCCAAATGGACGATTTATGACACAAAAGAAGATCTGCCTGTCTATGAGTGATTGTAAGTGCCATTAAATATCATTGGTCTAGGAATCATCTGTTCTTTCTAATAAACTGATTTTATTTTCACCTCCTTTCTATCATTTTTCAGTTCATCCAGAAAGTTGGAATCCGATGTGGTCTGTATCAAGGTAATACATTGTCATTGATGAAAAAACAGATGCCATTTTTTGTAACCATTTCATCTAGCGTCTGATGCTGACTAGGGTTTGTATGTCTTAAATGCAGCATACTTACTGGCCTTCTCTCATTCATGGTGAGATTCTGAACTCTCTAGTATTCTATGGCTATTGTCTGCTAACTATACAGGATAGATAAATGACTAGATGAAATGTGCCTGAAATCTTCTTTATGGACATCTCAATCCCATTTGCATACCAAAAAGTCCTTATTCATTTGACTTTTGAGTCTTTGAGTTCTTGCCAATGACTGTATCATAGGAATGTATTCTGCGTTCATGACATTGTATAATACTCAATTTTTAACTAAGTATCTGGTTGTGCATTGGTGTAACTGGTTGATTCACTTGTTTCGATGAATGGAGGTTTTGTGCACCTTCTCTGCTTCCTTCTCCATTTTCCATCTTAGGGTTGTGAATTTGAAAGGAAAAAGGTATTGTTAGTTTGGTAACTTCTAATGGGTCTTCTGATCATCTTCGTGCATCTGTCTCCACTTCTATTTTAAATTTATTGAATGTTTGTAGACTTGAGGCCACCAGGCACCAACCTAGTGGGTTGGCCCCTAATGGCTCGTAGCTCTAATATCTGAATGTGCCAAAATAATATAAATGGGAACCATTTGCACCATAGCTTGTGCCAAGCATATTTTCCAGATTTATTGCTACGATCGACTAAATTGAACATGCATCTAACCAGGAAATTGGAGAACAAAACTAGTGGGGCATTGTTGCATTGATAACTTCAAAGCATTCTATTGTGCTTCCAAGCACTCCTTTCCTAAGTGTACTTTTTACTATTATTATTATTATTAATTTTTTCTGTTGTGCAGATGGATACCAGTCCCACGACTGGCAGTGTTACAACTACTGTTGCTGAAAAGCAGCGACTAGCAAAGTCTAGTCTTGCTTTCAATTGTAAGAAGTAAGTCTCTTGCAACACTCATACAGTATTCTGTGATTTTCTGACCTGTTTTACAGAATCCGCATTTTGGTCCAATGCATCTATGTAGTTGTACATTGTTACCTTCTTTATTCCTTATTTAGTTAACAAATACTGGCTTTTCTGCCCTGTAATGGATGGGTCATTGCTATGATCTGTCCATGTTGCTAACTGTTAGTAGGCTTTTTGAATTTTGTGTTACTGGTGTCTTAACATGCACATACTGTATGCTATATACCCAACTTTAGGCATGCAAATTTGGCCAAAGGCCTGTAGGCTGGTTTCAGCCTGGCTGCCTAGGGCCGGACAATTCCAGACCCAAACCCCCTCTGTTAGGGCCTGGCTGAGATTTTTGAAACCCAGCCCACCTGGGGGCTTGGCTGACCGGACCCATCCAAGCTAAAATTCATGATCTAAGAGCTTGGATGGGTCGATAGACTGTGTAGTTGAAATTGAGCAGCAACACTCGATAGACTATCAAAACAAGTTGACCATGTGTTAATCCGGTTGATGGAATGCTCAACATCATGCTTTGTGTTTTATTTGTTGCAATTGCTAAATTGATTCTGACATTTTTTCTCCTAATAGCCCAACATTCAGGAAAATGTTCCCCGAGTATGTGGAGAAGTATGAACAGCAACAACTTTCCGAACTGCCTGTTCCAGAGCAAATCTCACCGACCCCTACTCAGCAAGAAGGTCACAGACCTTTACTGGACAAAACTGGTAATTCCACACAAGAGGACCTGAATAAAGTAGAAGCCCTGAGGGACCCCAGAAACCGCAGGAAGCAATCTTTCCCAACTTGGATGCTGCTGTTACTGGTTTCCATCTTTGGTGTCGTAATGGCTCTGCCGCTGCTTCAACTTTGATGTCCGTGACCAAAAGGACGGAAAAGCCTTTATGTTAAGTGTTTTAATGTTCTTAGGTTTGTCATGGTGTCTAACAGAACTTGTATAGGGTTGGTGCAAATGGAGGAGAGAGGAGTAAGCAGACTTTTTGGCAGGGAGTGGTACTCTTTTTTCTATTTTACTGCTGGCATATTTGAGTTTGTCAACCTTTAAGCATATTACAAGCTTGTGATGTCGTCTTAATGAATTTAGATCTTTTTTGTTTGGTATCAATATTATAGGTGTTTCTCTCATGTTTTTCTCTCTCTTTCTTAACTTTGGTATACACTTTGTTGTATGGGTGGAGCTTTGATCCAGTGGATGGCTTCGTAGGCTGTAATATCTCATAGGTAGAAGAAAGAAAGCTTTGTTCGTAGCAATTGGGTTCTAAGGGTTTGTTTGGTGCAGCTTACGAAGCCACTTAAATATTTTTATTTTGGAAATATATTTCAGTTTGTTTGATGCAATTTGTACTTATAGTTCATGAAGTAAAAATAATTTAAATAAGTTAGAAAAAATTTATTATAACGAATTAGGAACATATGTTTTAACTTATGCTTTTTAATTATTAATTTTTCATTTGTTAAAATCTGCATCAAATAGAAAACATGGGAACCATTTTTTTTAAACGAGGAAAAATAAATTTTAGTGAGGGTATCATAGCTCTCACAAGTCTCGATTCTGAAAAAAGCCAGTTGACAATCAAATTTAATTCAATTTAATTTAATTTAATTTAAAGAAAGGAACCCCCCACGGAATAATAGTGGACTTCACACTCACTCTATAACAAAGATTGTAAGATGACAGTTTTCAGATTGTGCCTTTTACGCGACAACCCCGGTGTGGAAAGAGGGCAAAGACCACTGAAACGTCATCCCGGTGGTTACGCGACAACCACCTTACATCTGATTTTTTTTCCCACGTGATTTTTCTAGCAATGCATTATCTTTTTAACTTTTTTTTAAGAACATCTTGGTAAGCTTTCAAGATCCAATCTCTGGAACAAGTTTTAAAAAATAACTACATAAATAAAAGTGGTCAACCTTGGTGGAAACCCAATACTTATGCCGATGGTTCTGTCGTCTCTTTTTAATTTCAAAATAAGAGTAATGTTGGATGAATTAATGAATTTATGCCTATTACATTGGATCTTTTTAACATTTTAAATATTATTATTACATGACATATTAATTAGTAAATAAACTGATAAGGTTTTCTTTTTTATTTGTATATATATCTTTTACCTATGGTTATCATTTATAGTAGACTTGCTATTTCGAATTCTATTTTGTTCACATGTTTAAAGAGTCGTTGCATAATCAAAAATTATTATATGAATAAGAAGAATCACTTGACCATGTACCCTTCTCTAGCAATGTAATTATTGTTGGAAATGGTTATAAATTCTGGGTAAAATCAGAATTTTATCCTAAATTCGGTCTATTTTTTAGGTAGGCCCCGAGCGTCGATTTACTCGGGTTAAATTGGTAACGCGTTCTATGCCGCGTTGTGATTCACGTGGCATATTTGGTTGCTCAAAACCATTACCGAGTGAATGGGAAATTGAAACCAAAATGTGTTCCATGGAAATGGAATTTTGGTGGAAATTCCTTAAGGTTGTAAATTGGCTTGTCCCACATTAATTTGGTGGGAAGTTTTGAAAGGGTTTATAAGGCTTGGGTTAGATACTTGGGGTGTGTCCCAAGAGGTACCCAAGTGTTTTAGAGGAAGAAGTTATGGGCAAAATGGGCTAGACCCATTTGACACAAAAATCACCACACGCGTGCGCTGCCGGCCGTCCAGTAGGGCGGGCTGGGCTTGGGCGCTGGTGTGTGGTTGGGTTGGGCTTGTTCGGCCCAATACTAATCTTTTTAGGCAAAAAACATTTGAATTTTATTTTATTTTTGGTAAAATAAAATCCAGAATTCAAATTAAACTGATTTGGATTTTGAATTCAAATTAAACTGATTTGGATTTTCTGTACATCCAAACAGGGTCCTTCCCGTTTTCAAACAGAAATAAACTAGTTTGGAATTAGTGCACACCCAAACAGGGCCCTTCCCGTTTTTTGCTATCTGTTTGAATTCAAAACCAACAGGTATCATACCTGTTCAATTTAAAACCAAGAGCCACCTTTACATCTATAAATAGGACCACCCTCATTTGATATTGATCATTCAGAAATTTCGTATTTCACCTCTGCTTATTCTATTCTTCATTTTGTTGCATTTTTTAGGAATGAAAATTACTAAAACATCTGACGGATATGCATTATCTCAATCTCATTATATTGAGAAAATTCTTGATAAATTTATCAAGGATGATTTGAATTTAGCTAGAACACCTGTAGACATCAGTCTTAAAAAAAAATTTTTGAAATTTCTGAGTCGCAATTAAATTTCTCTGAGTGGGATAAAAAAAATTTGAGTCAACATAAAGGTATAAATTATTCTGTGAGATATAAGTAAAAATTTGTAAAGGTACAAGTCTCACTTCTAACTCTTATATTTGCCGGTTTTTTTTTTTTTTTTTAACACAATTTCCCCCCTTCTTTCGAGGGCATCTGAAAAAAAGGGCTTAAGAATTGACGTGGGATGACGTGATCGAGTGCAGTTCTCGTTTGCCAATTTAATTTTTTAATTTAAAAGTCAATCTGTCTTAAGGACACAGTGTCAAACACTGGACTTGATCAGAAAATAATTCGAAGAAATTAAATCAAGTAAGTTATTTAATTTATTTTCAGTGTTGTTTTTTTATTTATTAAAATCATATTTAAATTTTATTTTTTGTAACAAAATAAAATCTGTTATTTATTTATTTATTTTTTATTTCGAGTTTGATTTTTGTAATCAAACAAATTCTCTCATTTTCTTTATTTCTTTATATTCTTATTGTTGTTTTGTATACAACAAAATTTAATCTATTTAAATACAGTGAAGATTGTCCTACAATTATTAGGCCACTTATTATTGGTTGAGTATACCGCCAACAAGAAAAAATGTAAAAAAATAAAATAATTACTCTTAAATAATTTATATATTTTTATTAGTGCAAATAGTGGCATCTCAATTTGTGAGTGGGACCAATACACAGTGGGGTTATTTGGGGTGTACTAAATAAGTGTACTTTTTGATTTTTTAGATTAAAAAGTTGAGAAAAAAATATGATTGTTTCGGATAATTTTTTGACTTTTTACAAAAAAATATGTATTAAAAAATTCTATAAATTAGTGTATGGGGAAGATTGGATGGAATAGGTTGTACGATCAGGTGAATTCAGGGACAGCGTCGGAGAGTAGTGGCTGGGAGATGATTCCCTGCTTGTCAAGCATTGAATTGGAGGTGTTGTTCGGCCTGTGGGGGCCCACCACGGGTCCTGTTTTGCTAATCAAAACCGTTTAATGTGTAGAATTCGTCGAGTACTATATTCTTGTAAAAAATCACGTTGATCGGATATCGATAGCTATCTCATCGGATTAGTTTGTTTTCAACTGTTAACTATAACACCATCTATTTTATAAATTTTAACTGATTTGATCATATAGTTACAGATATCTGATTAATGTGATTTTTTACAAGAACATAGTACTCGACGAGTTCTACATATTGAACGGTTCAGATTATTAAAAAGAGACCTGTGATAGGCCCCCCGAGCAACAGCACCGTGTTATTTGTACACCTAAACAAAGTAATTTTTCCTAAAAGTCCATCCGCTGCTCTGCCGTAGAGTTGTTTGAAAAGTAATTTTGTGTAAATTAATTTTTTAATATTTTTTTGGTAAATAGTGATAACTTTTTAACTTTTTTATGGGTACCCAAACCAGGCCATATGGGGCTCACTATATATCCTTTGTTCATACACTAATCCCCGTTTGACATTTATATTGGGGCTAAATAATTATAAAAAGACAAAATTGATTACAAAAATCAATAAGATAAAATATTGCTTTTTACTCATAATTATTATACTTTTTTTCTCATAAAAGTTAAAAAAAACTCCAAAACAAAAACCGAGGCTAAAAAAATCTCAACACAAAAAAATTGATTATATTAACCAATGTCAAACAAGCTCTAAAATAGTATATAAATGTATCTAGAAAAAAAAAAAAAAAAAGTATGCGAACAAAAAAATTTTAGTAATTTATTTAGAGTCTCTGGCATAATTTTTTCTCTCTAACTTAAAAATAAGAGTTGTTAGGGAGATCAAATTTTCTACCAAATAAATGAACAAATGTTTCACATGAGAATGAGATTCATAATTTTATTGACTCTATACCCATGTGAAATATTTTAGTCATTAGTTTGATAGAAAATTTTAATCTATAACATTTTCGTAAAAATAAAAAACTGAGAAGCTCCATGATATGCGGCATATATTACGCCATTGGTATTTTTTTTATTTTACATTAAAGAATAAACTAATTAGTTGAATCTTCATTACTCCTATTTATTTATTTATCATACAAGTCACCTTAGTTATTCCATCTTTGAGTTTTGAGCACCCTTCTCTCTCTCTCTCTCTCTCTCTCTCAACACTTGCACCTTTTCCTACATTTACAGTTCTTTACAAAAGAAGATCACCAAAAGCCAAAGCAAGAAAAGGGTTGTTCGTTTTCTGGACAAGTTCACTAGCTATAGTGGGTAACATTTTTCACACATTATATTATATAGCCCATTTTTATTATTATTTTTTTTCGAATTGAGTTTGTTGAAAACATTTTTTGATTAAACTTCTGTCTTTTCCTTTTGATAAAGTGATGTTACTTGTTTCTTGTTTGGTTGCCATGGTTTTGGATTTGTGCTTATTTTGGGCATATCTTCATTTTTGCATTGTCTACCTTTCCATTCAATAGACTCTGTCCTTTTCTATGCAAAATACCCATTCATTTATTAGTTTCTATGAACCTCTGTACACCAGTCCTAGGGGATTTAATCACCTCTTCAATGAGTTTTTTTTTTTTTAAACCAAACACGTGTTATTTTGAATTTATTTTTCAAACGCAAATTGTTGTTTGAACTCGTGACTTGGAAATTTTTTACATTAGGCAGTATTTTGAAAAAACGAAGTCATAAAACTACTTGAATTTGAAAATAAGTTCAAAACAACTCGCATATGAAAGATTTGTTTAAAAATGGCATAGAATTGGTAAATACTCATCTCTTCAACATATAAATAGGAAAGCTATAAAATAGAGTAAATGAAAGGAGAGTGAAACAAGGAAATAACTGATTGGAAGATCTGATTCTTATGCTATTGCTTTTAGTACTGTAACTTCTTTTTAAAGCTTGATATAGCTGGTAGGAGAAAACTGTTGAGTTCCATTTCATCTTCTTCAGTCTTGCAGTTTCTTGAATTGAGCCATTGATTTTCAGGTTTTTTTCTGAGAAAAATATGGATTTTGATGCATCAAATGTGATAATAAGTTTTCATATCTTTTTCCCTTTCTTTTCCTTTCCTTTTCAAATCTTTGTTTTGATACATGTTTTGTATTGGGTTTTTGGTGTTTTGCAGAATAAGATGAAAAAGTCTTCTCCGATATACCCCGGATATGAAGGTGGGGATTATGGTTTTGATCCCCAGCTGGATTTTTCACAGGTAGACAAACTCTTGTTGCCTTTTCTTCTTCTGTCTAACCGATTACAGAATTGGACACAAAATGTATATGAACGGATAAAATTTGTCAAATCCACTAATAAATCATGTAAAATACTATCTACTCGTGTGTATTTTGTATTTGATTCTGTGATTATTTTTGTATTCATAGTAAAATTGGCTTCTTTTTTTGTGTGTGGCTCTAGTCCTTCGTTGAAGAGAGTGTACTCAGGTCAATTCTTCATCAAGAGAGCACATCTAATCACTTTCATAGGATCAAACTATCTCGCTTTCTATCTTATTGTTTGTTGAATTTGCAGTTGTTATTACTATTATTATTTTGTCAAATGATCATCTTGCAAAATACAAATTCCCCAACTAATATGTTCTTTTCAACATTATCACAGTATTTTGGAAGATGATCTACATAAGCAATGTGGATTTTCAATTATTCATGTTGGCTGTCTAAATTATCATGTATATAAAAAAATTTAAAAAAGCACTTATTGTGATGGCTCCACAGTCATCAATTTTTTCAACATTATCACAATATTTTGTCTGTCATCTTCATAACATAAGCAATGTGGATTTGAATTTTTCATGTTGGCTATCTAAATTATCATGATAAAAAAAAAAGTATTAGTACTTTTGTGATAGTTTCACATTGTCATCAATTCTTGGTTTGCCTTTTTGATTAGTTCTTGGAAGAAGCAAGGAAGCACGCAAGCAAAGAGAATTTTCAGGTTGGGCCACAATATCGAGAAGATCAAAAGAGACAACTAGATGAAGCGCAAAAGAACAAGAAATCATGGAAAAAGTTCATCTTTTCATGGTGGAAAACCGACAAGAAGAGCAATTTCACAGTTGAACCTCAAACTAGTTTTCAAATTTCTCAACCAAAATGTGGTCGTATTTCTTCTTCCTCTGGTCTGATATATGGAAGTGGAGTTGGAGGTGGAGCAAGCTGCAAGCCCCGGCGTCCAACATCTGGGCCCCTCACTAGTCTCTTCCAGCCAGCAAAGACAGTGGAGAATGAGATACCCTATATGTGTCTTGACAAGCTTGAGGTCCCTCATGGTGTTCAATCCTATGGACCTGTTTACTTGGTAACATAGTGAAGAACTAGGGGATTGCAAATTGGCAATTCTGTTTCCATCTTGAAGAATCTTGATGAAATTGTCAAGTGGAGAGTTACAAAAATGTGGTAAAATTTGAATACCAGCTATGATGGATATGAATGGCTTGAAAATTAGCAAACTAAATTGAAATGCTTAATTAATTATAGCATTTTTTGGGTTAGTTATAGAATTATCAATATAAGGACTTCTTGAGCTTTTTATTTTCATTTTGCTTAGGGTAAATTACACTTTTACCCTCAAACTTTCACTCAAATTTCATTTTGGTCCTTCAATTTTATAATTATAACAATAAAATTCTCATGTTTTAATGTGGCGCTCTCACCACTTACCATTAAAAATTTGGACAAAAAGTCATTTTGGTACCTCAATTTTATAATTATAACAATAAAATTCTCATGTTTCAACGTGGCCCTCTTGCCACATACCATTAAAAATTTGGACATAAAGTGCTCACAAGAGGGACATGTAAGCACATTTTAGGGACATTAAAGAAAATAATTTCTCTGTTAAATAAAATACTTTTCAACCTTTATTTTTCACCCAAATTTTAGTTTGACAATTCAAACAATAGGGCCATAGAATCACCGCATTGAAACATCGATTTAAGTCTGAGAACCTAATTGTTACAATTAAAAGACACAGAATGAAAGTAAAATTTAGATGCAAATTTGCAGATGAAAAGTGTAGTTTCCCTTTCACTTATAACTTCCAACTCCTTGGCTTGGAGTGCATTTGCCTACAAAAATCGTTTGCTAGTGCCCTGTGATATTGTTATCAAAGTTGACAGAAAGAAAAAGAAAGGTTTCTAGCTGAACAAAAGGGTCACTATATCCCACCACAGGACTAAAGATTCCAAGTTCCTTTTTCAAGTCCTTTGTTCTCTTCTCTTTTCTCACAACACAAGCAAAGATGAATCAATAACAATGTCTCAAACACACACTTTTAAAGTCTGATGAAGCATATCTGTTTTCATTTAACTGTTGAATTTGCCAGCATTGAATCATTCGAATCAAAGCAGTCTTTGCTATCTACAATCAAGCTATTTAATTAGAGTCATTTTCACCCTAAGAATGTGTCTGTTCCTATGTTCTTTTCTCTAAGGTCGAGTCATGTCTTACTTTCACAATGATGTGTGTAGCGAGAAATTTTTTTGGATATATTTAGAAGGCATATGGGAATCTTAAATTTTTCGGTCTGAATGCATATGTTTTCAAGTTTTTCCACCACGCAAACAGTCTTAACAAGTTATAATTCTATTAACCAAGCTCATGAAAGTGAGAAAAACCAAAGTCTATACACAAAATATCCATCAAATGCATGTACGATACGTGCCATATGTTGAAAATTTCCATCCTTAAAATAAATCAAACAAAGAAAAGAAGATGCACAACTTCCATAACATCTTCTGAAGGGAAAGATGGATTAATTGATCCAACCTCTCAAACAGAGAAGCCTACAATGTTTCAATTTTGTACAGTATACCTCTCTTCCCAATCAATTGTGAAGCTGGTTTTCAATTCATGACTTATACAAATGCATAAATAAAGTAAGAACTGACTCTAAACCATCTTTCTTAACAACCAAACAACATTGGAGATGAAAATGTGGATGTCCAATTCTTCTCCACATCAAACCTCCAATCCAATCAACAAGATGCCAAGCTTCTATAGTGAAATTTCACATCAAAATCCATTGATTCATTGCTCCTAGCATTGTCCTCTGTGCACTTGCTCTGCATCAACACTGGTACTAAAAGGATTCACCCTTCTATCCCTGCTCAAAAGCCTCTTCAATGACCTCAATCGCGTTGTCACCGGAGATTTCACTTCTTCATCTTCGCCAGTCTGCATAGGTATGTCAATCACCAACATCCCATCCGGTTTATTACCAGTCGATGAAGACGATGACGAAGAGGACGAAGAAGAATGGGATTGAGAAGAAGCAGGACATGGATGATCTTCTTCCAAACAAGACCCCAAAGTGTTAACCTGACTCTGATTCCCCCAAAACAACACATTTGTTGGGAAATTGGGGGTTTCAGCTGAATAAACCCCAAAAGCAGAGCTCTCTGTTCTCGGCGAATTGAGAATAGTCTCTAGGGTTAATTCAGGGGACAATTGGGTCGAGTTCGAAACTGGGTTTCGACACAATGGACAAGTCGAATGAGATTGAAACCACATATCAATGCAATCTACATGAAACCCATGATTGCATTTCGGTAACAACCGAGCTTTCTCGCCGGAGACAAGGTCGGAGAGACAAACAGCACATTCCAATCCATCTTTGAAGTCTTTGGAATCGACGATCACTACGGGAATGGTTTTGAGAACCTCTGGATCGAGACCGCGGCGGAGGGCGGTGGTGGGATTGGACAATTCGAGGTGGCCGGGGGCGAAGTTGAAGCGGCGGCGCCGCCGTGTGGTGGAGGCGGAGGTGGTGGTGGTGGTGGGTTCTTCTTCGCGGTTGTACCAAAACCATTTGGCGTAGAGGTGGAGAAAGAGAGAGAAGACTACGACGAAGAAGAGGAATACTATACCTACCACCATGAAGATTTTCCCTGTGAGCTCAATTCCACCTGAGTCATTCAATGTCTTGTTTAACCCCAATGAGTCTCCCATCTCGAGCTGAGATTTTCTTTCTTGATTTCCGAAAAAATTTCTGGGGTTCAGGGAAAACCCAGTAGGGAAATTTCAATCTAAGCTTGTTAGAGAGTGTGAAATTGGATTTGGAGATTCAATGAGACAGAGATCTGGGTCTAAAGAATGAAAGTCACAAGAAAGTCAGAGATGGGATTGACACAGCTTGTGACTGAAATTTTGAGCTTGAGATTTTCCGAGAAAATTCCGGGGTTTCAGGCAAAACCCAGTTGAAATTGGATTTGGAAACAATGTTTGGGTCTAGAGAATGAAAGTTACAAGACAGTCACAGAAGGGATTGACAGAGCTTGTCAGAGACTGTGAAATTCCGAGCTTTCTTGATTTTCCAAGAAAATCCAGGGGTTGAAGGAAAAAGCCAGTAGGGATTTCTCAATCTAAGCTTGGAAGCTTGTTAGAGACAGTGTGAAATTGGATTTGGAGATGTGAAGAGAGAAATCAAAGGCCTTTAAAAATAGTAAAAGATGTAAAGAGAGAGAGAATTGGACAATGTTTGGGTCTAAAGAATCTAAAGAATGAAAGTGACAAGAAAGAGAGAGAAAATTGAAGAAAAGGAAGAGACTTTGGAGTAGTGGTGAGTGAGAAAGACGAAGAAGAGTTCAAGGATGAGGCCGTGGACTTCGTTGCCTTTTTCTTTCTCAAAAATGTTTCAAATCCCCTTTACCTCCCGTTCCCTTTGATCCCCTTTCTCTCTTATTGACCAATTTTTTTCTTTTTTTTTCTTTTCTTCCAATTATCATCTGTCATGTGTGTGTGAAAGAGGTTGGGGTGGAGGTGATGATTGGAGGGGTGTCCCCGAATGCTGTTTCTTTCTACCGAGTGGATGCTCACTTTGACTGCTATAGCAATGGGTACACAAACTTTGAAGGGAAAATTGGAAATTATATGAATATATTCTTTTATTTGTTTGTTTTTTTAAATTGAAATAAAGGCCCTTTTGGAAAATGAGTTATAATCTATTTTTCAGATTATAACTCACTTTTTCTCTTACAAAAAAACAGGCTTATGACTTTTAATCAAAAAGTTAATTACAACCATCTTTCCAAAATAGCCCAAAGAAGTAGGAATAAAAATTCACAATTGGAGGTTATTGTCATCAAATTCGTTTGATCTTACTTGAAAATTAAACCTTCGTTTGAGATGTGAGTTAATTTTTTAATTTTTTTTGATTATTTTAATTTAGAAGCAAAAAAAAATTATTTGGAATAGATTTTTTAGTCATTCAAAAAAAGGATTGACCTTTTGATTTTTTTTTTTTACTTTTGTGAGAAAAAAAATAAAATTATTATGGTTTAAATGTGATGTTTTATCTTATTGAGTTAAAAAGTCTATTTCTTCTTGTTGGGACTATTTTAACCCAAACATGACTGGCCAAACAAAGCCTAATAAATTAAGTTTGATTGTTCACTTTCAATTATGTCCAAAGTTTGTTTGTTGGTTTTTTTTTTTAATTTTTTTAATTTTTTAACAATTGTTATGTGGATAAAAAAAAAAGAAGAAGAGAGAACATAAATATGAGAAATTACAAATCAATTATAATTTTTTCAAAATAATTACATATTTATGAAAAAGTTTATAATTTTAATAATTGAAATTTGTAAAATTGTCATTAATCTAAATTGTTTTTCAAACGTACACTGATTTATTATTTTTCTAAGATAAGTTTGGGTAGTTTCGTAAGATTTATAAAGCTGTTTACGATTTCTTTAATTTGAAAAATCTGTTTCAAAGTGTTTTGTGTATTTTCTTCTTAGTCTATAAGTAAAAAACAACTTTAAAAATTTGAAAATAAAATATTTCTAAATTTTACTTTTTGATTATCAATTTTCAATTTCTTAAAAGCTATAACAATTAGAGCCATTGTGCCCTAATGAAACTCAAAATTAGATATTATACTCCATCAACCACACTAATCTCGTGGTCTCATCTCAAGTACAAAGTGCCAACTCTTGTAAAATTAAATAAGAACATAAACTTTCTTATAATCTGTTGGAATTTATTAATTCTATTCTTAAAGGAATTACATAATTTATATAAGATAATAGTCTTTTATAATTCTCTTATTTGCCAAAACAAGCGTTATTATTGCTCATAAATTTTTTTTTTTATAAAAATGATATATACTATCAAAATTTGTTAGGTAGATGAGTTTAATGTATAGAAATCTATTTGTGAAACATTTTTAGAAGTAATAATTTTTTATGATTTGAAATTTTTGTATGCTATTTAACTAGTTTTAATTCTTACTTTGATAACAAAGTGGAATTTTTTTGTCACTAAAAAAATTTGGGATGCTATAATACTTTTGTACATTTTTGACTTACATATGCTAAGATATGTCATATCATTGAGGAAGAATAAGTCTAATCACATCAACTAATTCAATACATAAATTATTGTCTACATTTGTGGATCACACATCTTATGAGTTGATAGTGATTTATGTAATGAAATTTGTGATGTTTATAACATGTTTGTTATTTGAAATTTTCATTCAAAAGTGACAGCAAAAGAAAACTCTTATTTTACAATGATAAGAACAATTGCTTCTATTATTTACCAAAACACATTTAAAAAATAAATAAAATTTGAGTGCTTCAATTGTGGTAGGCAGAAGGAGTTGACACAAAAAACAAAAAAAAAAAGTCTTATGTATAAGTTCAAAATGGTGAATTGAGGTAGAGTAAAATTGTTACTTACATGAAGAACCTTATAATTTCATTCCTAATTTATGAACTCATATATTTTAATATATTTAATTATAAAAATCTTACAAATACTTCATTTTAAATGAGTGAAAGTTATGTATTTTTATTGTCGGGGATGTCAAAATATATTAGTTTATAAATGAAGTAAATAAGATGAGATTCTCTAATAGTTGAAGGAGTCTATAAGCTCCGTTTGGGAAGTGGGTTGATTTTTTGGCTTTTTAATTTTTTTGGTTATTTTAGCTTGGGATTAAAAAACCTGGTTTGGGAAGGGTTTTTGGTTTTTTTGACTTGTTTGTGAGAGAAAGAATGTAATGATTATAGGTTGAATGTGATGTTTTGTCTTATTGGGCTAAAAAACCTATTTTATTTTTTGTGGCTATTTTAGCCAAAAAAGCTTCTGAACCAACTTCCCAAACGGAGCTTAATAATATTTGTTAATAGTCAAGAGGATATTAATATAATAAATCCAAAAAAAAAATAAATCTAATTAATTTGTTCATTTTGATAATATTTTGAGTGGTATTATTAGCAATAAACCTAACATTCGACAAATATGTCTGCACAAACCAATTTTTCATATTCGAACTCACATGTCACACATTTACACTTATCTTAGAAGTACAATATTAAATATAATCTCATTTTTATCTTATTTTTTTAGTCTTAATCACAAAACAATGTAACTCACATTATGTATATAGAATCCACTTACGTATATTTATAAGTTAGAAATTTTTTTATAAAAGATAAAATTATATAACATTTACTATATTAAAAATTAGAAATGATTCTATCAACCAAAATGTACAATTGATCTCAGGATCGTAAAACAATTTTGGACACTAGTTGTTGAGGACCCATCAACATCTACCTAGCCTTTTAAATTTGGAAGAATTACGTACAGATAGAAAAGGAAAAAAAAAATTATCAATACATGAAGAATATCTTTTCAATTATGTTCCATCACGGACACTTGCATTCTCAAATATTTTTAATTTTTTCACCCTTCAGCTTTTTATTTTTCTTAAAACTTAAGTAAGTAATTCTAGAACGACAAGACAAGATAATAAGGGTTGGTTTGATAAGTCTAAAATAATTTAAAAAGTTAAAAAGTTATATAAAAAGTAAAAAATTATTATTATTCATAAATAAAAAATATTAAAAAAATATTTTATACATTTTTATAATACAAAAGTGCACTTAGATACTGTCAACAGTACTTGTGAGACTTGTAAGCCATTATACACTTTTTAGGCTAAAAAAAAAATTACATAGGTAAAGTCACAAAATTTGATGGTAATGTTGGACCCTAGGGGGCTAGTAAGTGTTCTGTTTTCATAATCCGAACCGTTGAATATGTAAAAATCGTCGAGTGATATACGCTTGTAAAAAATCACGTTGATCGGATATCGTTAACTATATAATCAAATCCGTTTTGTTTATACAAAACGGTTGGTGTGATAGTTAACTGTTGAAACAAACTAATCCGATCATATAGCTATCGATATCCGATCAACGTGATTTTTTACAAGCACATAATACTCAACAAGTTGTATATACTAACGGTTCAGATTATTAAAATGGGACCCATGGTGACCCCCACAAACCGACCATCACTGTCCAAACACTTTGTCCCCAATGAGGCAATTATTTTCTGTGGAGTATAATCTGGGGCAGCAAGGCAGCCTTACAAGCATTCTACTTTCTTCCACTATACATTTTATTTATATAATTTTTTATTACACATTTTTTCGTAAAAAGACAAAAAGTTAACTCAAACATTTATTTTTTTTTAGTTCAAAAAGACAAAAAATACACTTATTTAGGACACCCCAAATAACCCATAAATGTGCTCCGGGTCCGGATGGGCTGTTGGAACTGGGGGGGGGGGGGGGTTGGGAAGACTAAATAAGTGTACTTTTTGACTTTTTTTGTATTATGTGTAGAAAAAGTAGAGAGGAGATGTTGATTGATGTGACCCAAAAAAGATAAAAAGATGAAATAAGTGCACTTTTTTGACAGTAGCCAAACTTGGCCTTAGACTGTTTGATACTGATCGGAATTTTAATTTTTATGAAGTAGAGTTTGTTTTAATTTTAATTTTTTTTTATTAATATCGGCCTATTTGGCTACAATATTATATTTAGATACTTTTAATATTCTAAACCTCTTATTTATTTAAAATCTTAAACGTTTTTATTAAATTGTGTTTTAGATGATAAATTTTATAAGATTTTATTAAGGGAAAAGAAAATAAAAGAGGAGAGAAAAGTGACAAAAATTTACCTTCTATTTTTTGTCATTTTTTCATTACATTTCTCATTTCTTCACAAATTTTTAATTAAATTCATAATTAAAACATAACCTTAAAGTCATGCCGTAAGTGTCTCTTTTATACTAAATTAAAAATTGACAAAAACCGAACCACTGACGTGTCATGATACGTTTAAATTTTTAATGCAACTCCATTTATCTAATTAAAATAACATGTAGATAAGATTTTTGTTTTTCATCTGAAATAATTTGACCTTTTATGTACCATTTTAGAGTCAATTTAGTCAACACAAAAATAAATGAAAAAAAATTATTTTTTGAAATGGAATACATGTAATTAATTGAAATTAAATATTTTATGAACAATTTCATATAGTAGATATTTAATGGAAAATTTACCTGTAAATTTCATTTCAGAAATGGTGTTTCATTTAGTCACAAGAGTTTTCTTATAAGTTAGCCTCCGTTTGGGAAGTGGGTTAGCTTTTTGGCTTTTTGGCTTTTTTGGCTATTTTAGCCTGGGCTTAAAAGCTTGGTTTGGGAAGGGCTTTTTGCCTTTTTTGAGTTTTTTTGTGAGAGAAGAATGTAATGATTACGGGTTGGATGTGATGTTTTGTTTGTTATGGCTAAAATAGCCTATTTTGTTTTTTGTGGCTAAAATAGCCAAAAAAGCCTCCAACCCACCTTCCCAAACGGTGCCTTAATTAGTTTCATTGATGTTGGAAAGGGAGATTTAATATATTATTTGGAAATTAGATTTACGGTTATACCTTTATTTCTATTATGTTTTCTTTTCTTTTTTTCCTTTTATGCTAGAAAGGTAAGATACACAATTTATGGGAATCAAATTT